TTTTTTTTTTTTTGTGGTTGGACTCGATGATCTCTGAGGTCCCTTCCAACCACCACAATTCTGTGATTCTGTGAATTTATAGTGCTGCTGCACCCCCAGTATGAATTCTTAATCCATAAAGGAAGGGGACAGGTACCAGCAGAATGTCCTCTTTACTTCTAACCTCACTTGAATTCTCAGGAGGGACTAATAAAATCTGTTCAAAAGATGAGCCTTAAAATTCATAATTTCCATTAAGTAGTAAGAAGCATGGACTAAGTAGATCTTTCTGTTTTTACTGTGTGTTGTAATTCCTTGTCACTTCCACCAGCAGTTCCTCCCTCCCAAGTTTATGCTTAATAAATTATCTTCTGTATGTTTCATTTTGTTCTAAATAAGAGGCGATCACATGGCTCACACTTCTGTTCTATAAAGACAGCTACTGGGGTTTTTTTTGTTTGTTCTTGGTTTGGGAGTGTGGGGTTTTTTTGTTTTAATTCAGTCTAATTGATAAAGATATTTATTAAACCAAGAGTAATAGTTGCTAGTTTTGAAGTCTTTGCTTTGAACCTGGAGGAGGGCATTTGTGTCAGGGCTTTTAGAGCTTATCCAGTTCTGTTAGTTAGTTAGTATGACAGAAGGTATAGCTTCTTGTTTATTACCTTGCTTCTTTTATATATTTGAATCACTTCGGCTAATACATTACTGTATACCTTCCAAATGAAATATTTGTTAGGAAATTACTGTGCATTGCATTTAGGATGCCTCCATATACCATGCTGTGCCATGCCTTTATGTCCTTACTGTCTCATGAAGTTGCTGTCATCAGCTGTCAATCACAGATTGATATGTCTGCTTCCATACATAAACTAATTCGGTTGTAGCTGGTATTCTATGTTTAAAGGCATGTCTCAAAACTACTCTTTACTATCTGTAACTAATAAGCAATCAGTTCCCCAAGCCAGTACAAAATTTATAATAGACTGTCTAGCATCGTTAGATTTATTTTCCATAATTGCTTGACTAACTGATGCATCCATCTCTACTCAAAATCACAAATTGAGTAGTTGTCTGCAGATGTTATAAAAATTACACATCTCATTAACATAAAATGTTTTAAAAACAAATTTATTAAAGCAGTAATTCTATTACTGGATTTTAAGCTGTCTTCAGGTTTATTTCTATTTTGTGATGTTACTCCATGTTCTTCATGTTTTAGCATTTCTGCTTCTGAAAAGATGAGTTTTCTCTCCCAAGACAAGATCTGCTTACAATTGGTGGTGATGTTAATCACAATAAACAGGTGCTACCACATCTAGATTTTAGCAATTTTATATCACGAAATAATTTTGAGCATTGGGAGAAAAATTCTAAAACCTTGTAATCATCTATCTATAAACTTGTCTTTGGTAAAGTAGGTGTTTTCACTTGGTATTACCAGCTGTAATTTAGAAGTGAAGACAATTTAAAAAAAGAAAAAAAAAAGAAAAAGTCTTCTTTTTGTGGCTTGATGGAGGTGAATCACTCTGTAAGCAGTTCTCTGTCCTAGCTAATGCCACCCGCTGCCTGATTTTGTCTTTACTTTTCTCCTTTTCCAGATCCTGGAGTCTCTGTGGATAGTGATGAGTCGCAATGTGAGCCTCTTATTTACTACAGTTACAACATTAGTGACAATCCTCTTCCATAGTGGGACAGCTCTTCTCAATTTTGTGCTTTCAGTGGTAAGTAGTGTGTCATCAGTTTACATGGTCCATTTTACTGAAGGAACCTAATTGAACATGTTGTAACAATGAAAAATCAAACCTAACGCGTTGAAAACATTTTCTAACCTTGTCTAATACCAAAATTCTTTAAGGCTTTGCAACTTTCAAATCTGCTGTTTGGGGGGCATTGTAGGCAAAAGGGGCTAGATTTGTGTAACTTCCACATTAAGGAGCTGGCAGTCTTCATGTGAATCTGTTCGTGGAAAACTCTTGGTTTTGGCGTTGAAGATATTGAGGTGTAACTTGTGGTATTCTACATAACTACTGAAATCTAATTTTATGTCCTCACATATATTTAAACAAGCCCAATATCCTTTCCCCATCTCCTTGTTTTTTTTTTAAAATGCAGTTTTGGAATGGAATTTTTACATTTTGAAGGGACTGAACCCTAAAGCATTTGAGCACATTTTGTGTGTTTATGTGGTCCAGCCAGCAGTGTCAGCTGAAAAAGCTCTCTTGAAAATGCCAGGTCTGTGTTTTGACAAAAGACGTATTTAACAGGCTACTGAGGGAAGTTTATTTTTCTAAATGTGAAACAGAAGGAATTCTTTTCAGTTATGTTTAGGTAGAGAGCTGTGTTTAAAAGAAAGCACTACTCCAGCTTTTAACTGTACTCTTTTTTTATTTCGCAGAATTTTTAGTTGCTACAGAAGGGATTTTACTAGTTTGAAGTGGCACAAACTAATTTAATTTTTGCAACAAGATAATTCCTGAAGTGGATAGCTTTTCAACTGATTACATTTCAGCCCATTTTTACTCATCTTGAATAAAAATTAAAATAGTGAGTTTTATTTTGATAAATTGATAATAAAGTTTTGCTTTAAAGCATGGAAATAATAGACACTTTGTTCAGAATCTCTGGTTTGAAAAATCGATCTTCCATCAAATCATTCAGTAGGAAGTAACCTGTGTAGCATATCCATCCCTGATCCAGCAAGACTGTATTCATATCCTCAACAGACATTTGAAAACTGATCATTAGTGACAGGATATAAGTTCCTGTTCACACACACACACAACGGGTATATATATGTCTTTGTGTGTTTATATATATACGCATACGTACATGTATGCACATGCATACTCATACTTAGAGCTCATACTCTGTTGCACAAAGATTGAAAGAGAAAAGCTTCATTTGGCTGAGGGGCATTTACAGGCCTGTGGCAAGTAGGCAAATTTTTGATGCTGTAAAAAACCCAAAAAGCAAACAACAAGAAGAAAGAAAAAAAAAAAAAAGCCAAGAACAAAGCTTGTGGGCAGAAAATTGAGTATGAAGGGCAGATACAAAAATATTTTTCAAGTCTGTGGACCTGACACACAAGCAATTAAGCCATGTGTTTCTTTACATATGTGAAAAAGACTGAATTAAAGGAGAAAGCTATGGGTGTAAACACCCATACTGTACTAAAATGGTAATTCAGCAATCTCCCCCTCAAATTAGACTATTTAATGTTTTAGGCTGCAGAACAAATTCTACAGCAAGAAATAGTAATTCATCAATTGTGTAACAATGGAAAGATCTTATTTCTGCTGTGGTGAATTCTCCTCATAGTCAGGATCTTGAATTGTTGCTTAGGAAACAATTTAGGTAATATCTGAAATCTCGGATGTCTTGTCAAAGAGGTCTGAAAACCTTCAGACTCCAGTTGATATCAGCTAGGACGTATCTTTTTGCTGCTGAATGTGCTCTTGAGGCTCTTCTAATGTTTGAAGAGACAGCAAACCACTTGATAATAAATTACTGTATTCTGTGACTACCACTTCTTTTTGCATTTCTGTACCCGTTTAGTTTCCCAAATTGCAGATACTGTAAAATTCAGTGGATTTTACATGGTGCTGTGGTTACACGTGTCTTTGTCTTAACAGAAATTGAGATAGGTTTATACCTTTTCCTAGCTTCTAGTTCAGTTTAACACCATTTTATTCCATTGCTGTTCATCCCCAGCTGTCACTTTGGCTTTTACAGTTCAGGTGGGTATGTGTACGTTGGTGTGCTGTGACTCTCTAAGAAAACAAGTTTCCTCTGTAAGCACTGGGGAAGAAGAGCTTTTCCAGTCAGTAGAGGTGCGGTGCGTGTTGCCAGTTGAACTAATCCCAGCTCTTACTCGTAGCCTGCCTCAAGTCAGCCCTGTGTGTTTCTCATGCCACGGGGAATCAGGCTTTGCCTGTTTGCTGCAGTTAAGTTGCTCCTTCCCTGGCTGCCGTGTTCTTTTCAAAAGGCAATGTCTTCAGAAGTTAACTGAGGCTGTCCTAATAAAACAAGATCCAGTGAAGCTGTTTTTCACTTTGCTTCTTTTGAGTGTCAGGATGAGTGGGTATTGTACTTAGAGCAATACGCTGCTTTCTGTGTTGAAAACTGCACTGCAAGAAGGATCTGTAGCCGGATCCCAGTGGAAGGAAGACAAAACACCACCCGGATGCCTCCCTCAGTATAGGGAGATTTGCAGTGAAATCAGGAAATACTGCAGTATTTCCTGCAGGGAGAAATGGCAGGTCCTATCAAGGAGAAAATAACCATACCTGTAACATTACAGAGGATGCTAAGATCTGAGTCAAAGGTCAAGATTTACTCATTTGAAATTGTAAAAAAACATAGCTGATATTTCTACTGGCACTGGGTTGTTTCCTATTAAACCAAGCACTAATTCAGGAATGGGTTTTTTATGATTTCAAAATGAATGCTTGCTAACAGTGTGCTGTTTAAACATGCTGATGCAATCACTTATTTTAATAGACAGATTAGTTTATCACCTAAGGCAGAAGTTACACACTTGGGAAGATGAATACAGCCTACATATACATGACATTTTGGAAAGGGGTGACAGTAGGCAAACAGTCGAGCGTGACTTCCAAGTTAAAGGCTGGGAGGGTGGGGAAGTGGTAGTAACATTTCACTGAGTGGAAAGGAATTATGAAGAGAGACAAATGGATGGCATTCTTGATACTGGTAATGGAATATTGCATGTTGTGCTGTCTGCAAATTTTTTTTTTCCTTCCTAAGTGTGTTCAGAGGTAATGCAGGAAAAGGGCATGAGGTGTCTAGAGACTGGATAAAATGCTTGAAACTAAGATACCTGTGGAGGTCAGGCTGTCTGGCTTTTCAAAAGATTGAGATGTGGTTTGTTCTACCATATGAGTAGGTTGGAAATAAGGAAAGTGAAAGAATTCTTTGTAATCTTGGGAAGAAAGAAAAAGATCTAAGGCTTGCAGATGAAGCAAATATAAGCCAAATATTTTCCTTGTTTGAGGTATTCTGTTTCAAGCAGTGGGCACATCTCTGTGGTGTATGCTGAGCCCACTAACAGGAAAGTAAGAAAAACATAAAACTGAAAACTGAAATCTGACTATATCTTTTTGGTTTTCAAATTGAAGCAATGAAACTGCCATCACTTCTGCTGAGAGCCATCTTCAAACTCACAGGAGTATTCAGTCAGAATTGCCAGCCTAATAAATATTATAAGTTTTCTGTTTGTGTGGTTTTGTTGAATTCATGTCTGATATCTAGCTGCATAATGAACTCTTGAGTCAACTCAGGCTTATGTGGCAATTTTTGGGTTGTATTGGGGTTTTTTTTGTTTGGTTGGTTTTTTAAAGAACAGATGTTACTATGCAGCAATTCTTTGCTCTGCTAAACATGCTGGGGAAAAAAAAACAACAAACAGACAAACAAAACCCTAGAATATTGATCTAGATCAACATTCTAGTTGTTTGATCTAGATGTGACTTTGGTAAGAAGCTGAACAGGGCTAAAAGTTTCGTAATGCAGGGGAGAACATTATTCTTCTTGATCTGTGTGTTTCCCTAAATCCAAGCGTGTGGAATAGTATTTTGTGCCTTTGCAATGAAGTTCAATATCTGAAGCATAGTTGCATACTGTAGTTCTGGAAAGTATTTATTGGCTTTTAATTTAAAACTCCAATTATTTTGCAGGTGATCTTCCTGACCACACTGTTCTATCTTTTGAGTTCCAGTGATGAGTACTACAAGCCAGTAAAGTGGGTGATAAGCCTGACACCTTTATCTCAGCCAGGTCCCTCCTCAAATATAGTTGGCCAATCTGTGGAGGAAGCAATAAGGTATGTTGTTGATTTCTTAAACTTTCTGGAATTTTTTTTTTTTAATTTGATGTTCAACTACAAATACTTAGCAATTGCAACAGCTTATCTTTCAAAGGCGAGTCTTTGAAATCTCAAAGATTTTCCAGAACCTAGCACTGATGATTTTTTCCCCTCGATTGTTAAAAGAGCCATTTGATTGGACTTGCCTTAAAAAAAAAAATAATCAGAGGTCTGTGCTGTAGTGAAGACTAGTATTTTATAAAATTGATAACACCCATGACAACCCTAACCCATGAGGAAGCAGTGTGTCTGTAGCTGTGTTGACATTGAACGGCTAGTGCAGCTCAGTCGGAGCAGATTCATGCAGCAAAACAGTTGCAATGGAAGACCTGACACCTGTGCTGTACACATTTCAGAGTTACTTACTTTGAACTATTTTTAGTATAATCTTGGTGACTAAGTACTCATTTGCAGGTGGAGTGTGTTAGATATGATCCTGGAATGCATTTTCCACTTCAGTTTAATCTGGGAGAAATTTAGTTCATGGTCTCCATGGTCCAAACTACACCGAGGGGAACAACAGGGGAGCACTCTCCTTATCCCACTTAAATCACTGCACCTCCAGACTGCATCCACAGTGTTTCATGCTTAATTACCATTCTTAGGTTTCACCTCTAAACTACTACAGTAACTGAAGGAGGATTTTTTTGTTTTTTTAAATATGATTCACTGAGATTTCACAATAAAGCCATTTTTTGGGGTGGCATAGTAATGTATTTCATTCATCACAGATGAATGAAGCTGTCAGCTTTCACCTGTTAGCAGCTTGAAACACTAACATGTTGATAATGTAATAAATGGGTTTTAAATAAGGTATTTAAGTCACAGCTCACTTTTTCAAAAAAGTTGGTGGACTGGAAAAAGTCAACAGACTCCATGCTAAATTCTGTACAGCTGTTGTCTCTTACAATACTGCTTTCTGTGTCATCTTGGGCACAAGTACAAAACATGAATAGACTTCAAATCAGCAACTTGTTAATACTGCTTTCCAAACTCATTGCCAAATGTTTGCCATTGTTTTAGGTGTACTTTACAAGTGAGCATTGTTATCTGTTACTGTAATTAAGCTGTTTCTGGGTATATTTTAACAATGAGAAGGTTATATCATGCTATGTAAGATCTTGACAAGGTTGATAACTGCTGTAGTCATTTGAAATAAAGGGACAATCCAGGTAGAAAGTAGCAAATTTGGAATTCTGCCAAAAAGTCAATAGCCCTTCTCTTGAGTGACTGCTATTGAGTTTTCATCGATCACATGGTTAATACCTCAGTTCTATCTCTTCTGACAAATACAAGCAGATACAGAAACTGAAACTTTTCTCATGAATTGTTCTCTCTAGCCCCTGGTAGGGGGGGCACAGTGTCCAAAAAAAAAAGGATATGGCTTCCCTGGGCATGGATGTTCTGCAATGAGGATTGTATTAAATGCAATTTTAAGTTTATAGGTCTGTGACACAGATGACATAGGGTATTTGTCAGAGTTTAGAATGGCAGAAAGAAAGAAAATAATGTTAGAGAAGCCACAGGAAAACAAGTAGAAAAGAGCCAGCATGCATCAGTAACTGCAAGTACGATGAGGAAAAGCCAGTGTCTGGGGAATGTGCAATGTGAATCTGCTTGTCATACTTTGTGTGTTCACTAAGGTAGCCTGAATCACTCATTCATGTTTGTTTGTTTGGAGTAGTCTGTACTTGGTGCCTTATTTGAATTCTTTGGAATGCTTATTCTGAGATTTTCAGAATGTCCTTTCTCTTGCTCATTTGTTCCTAAGGATTTATCATAATGCTTCTAGATTAGCTTGCATTTCACTCAATACTTACTGTGATCTTCACTATGAAAATATGAAGAGTAAAGTAACAAATTGCCATGAGTTTATGCATGCAAAATTTTTTGCCGTTTGGAAAACAATTGCTACTGCAAGCCATTTCTTTTTTCACAAAGCACAACCTACTCTTTGTTTTTGAAGATGTTGCTGGAGGGGTAGGAGCCAAAAATGGCTTGTTCACTTCATCTATAAAGCAAGCAAAGTGGATGTTAATGCTTGGTGGTAGGAAGAGGCTCCATTTGTATTATGAATTATCAAATAACGAAACTTGTGTAGTCGCTTTCATCATTAGACTGCAGGAGTTTTAAAGAAGTTGAAGGGAATCCAAGAATTACCTGCTACAAGTCACGGGATGAAATGCCCTGCTGGCCTTTGGCAGGAAAGCTGTTTCTGCAGGACAGAAGGGAGGCAAAATGCCAGCGGCGCGTGTCAGGTGGTGGGAACCAGCGGTGATTCTCTAAGGGCAAGGGATGCCCTGGCTGACCCAAGAGCTTGCTTGGCTGGCCTAGTGGTACAAGGGCAGAGCGGTGAATGACAGAAGATAACTGGGAGGCACATGAAGGACAAGGTGACATCAGGGAACACCCAGCACAGCTTCACCAGGGCCAAGTTGTGTCGGTACCAACATGAGCCTTGATTTGAGGAGGTGACTGTCCTAGCAGGGCAAGGGCAGAGCAGCCATCGCCTTTTACTCTGACTTTAGTGAGGCTCATGACAAGACCTGTGGGCCCAGTCCAAGCTTCTGCTCAGAGCAGTCCCTGTTGGATCCATGTTGCTTGGGACTTTGTTCAGTCCTGTTTGGACACCCTCAAGGACAGAGCTTCACAGCCCTCTGCCCCCCTGTGCTGTGTCTGAGCAGCCTCATTGTGACAGTCTTTTCCTTTTGTCTAGCTGGGTTTTCTTCTGGGCCTATTGTTGCTCATTCAGCTGTAGTCACCAGTCACGTCCATCCTATTCTTGATGCAGACCAGGGGCACCTCCCTCTGCCTGCCACTTGTGTGTCCTTCACCATTTCAAAGGTTTTGGGCTGTGCCCATAAGTCTTTTCATGAGTTATGGAGACCAGGAGCGAACAGAAGAGTCCAGATAAAGGTGCCAAATCAGAGAAATGCCTCATTTCTCCTGGTGGTTTTTTGTTGTCATTTTGTTTTTTTCTGTGTGTTTTGTTTTTTTTTTTTTTTAGAAGAGTCCAGATAAAGGTGCCAAATCAGAGAAATGCCTCATTTCTCCTGGTGGTTTTTTGTTGTCATTTTGTTTTTTTCTGTGTGTTTTGTTTTTTTTTTTTTTTTAATGGTTTATTGCCCACTCTTGAAAAGAACTCCTAATGGAACAGCTAGAAGGGACCTTAAGTGCAAAGTCTAGTACCTCTTCCTGGCAGAACTGTAGTGTTGTACTTTTCCAAAGCAGGAACTATCTCTAATGTCTTTGCTTGATCTGTTGCTACTCTTTGTGCGCTGACACAGAGTGTCTGTCTTCAAGACTCTATTGCCCTTCTAAGACTTTAGGCACCTAGAGGAGAGGGAAGGATGGAAGAGGCGCCTTTGCTCAGGGTGGAGCTTTTCACCCTGGGAGTGTAATTCAGTCTTTCTCGGCTTCTCCCAGGACAAGGAGGCAAAGGGAAACGCAGGGGATGGTCTGCTGCTGGTTTGGTTTTTCCCCATCTTGCGAATGTTGTTTTGTTTGTAATGTGGGCATTTGCCTTTACCCCAGATACCTTCCTTTGATGGAGTTGTCCCAGTTCTCACAGGTAAGTCCTGCTGGCCTCCAGGCAGTCCTCCAGAAGGAGACCAACAGGGTTTGGAGTATAGAACAAACACAGTTTTGCAAATTGCTCATAAATCGGTTTTCACAATTTTGAGTAATTTTCATGATGAAAATGTTCCAATCGTTTTAGAGTAAGCACTTGTGTGTGCTTTGTTGCCAAATGCTGCCTTCACTCCTCCTGGTCACTTGCATCTTTGGGAAGGCAGCATTTAATTTGTAGGAGGAGAAGGAAGAGCAAATCTGCATGATCATTCCATAAAAAACAGTAGAAAGCCTGAGAGGAAGATCACTACCAAAGTCATGTGTGACCACAGGGTTTTTCACTGATGTATGAAGTACTGGTGCTACTTCAAATCAAGCAACTCATTCACAACTCACGATGCCAAATGCCATGCTGGAATTTTGCATGCCATTGCCTGTACGTGGGGGGAAATAAAAATTCAGGAAAATGGCAATAGTATGGAATACTCACAACTGTAGTAGCAAAAGAGCCTGTTCTGTAATGGTTTTGGTCATTCATGCCCAGTTGATTTATCTGTTTCTCTTTTTCTTTGGTTTGCAATCAATCTCGGGTCTTTCTGACTCAAATTTTAACTTTCTTGGTGTGGCCACACTTCATTATGATTTGTTCTTCTTGATAAATGCTCCATTTGCCTTTCGTCCCTCCTACCCTTCTGTTTGTTTTTTTTTTCTTTTTTAATTTTTTTCCAAGTTTTCCATATTACATAAGTGGGTATCAGCATAAAAATACGTTGAATTATGAAGGTTGTATTGCACCTTCATCATGTGCAAGAGTCTCCTTTGACTGGCAGTGGTGTTCAGTAGCCTGTGAACATAGTAAATACATTATTTTCTTTCACTGAAACTACTAAACATTATATATAGAAACCAGTGGAAAAATGGGAATAGGGAGGAGACTGGCAACTCTGGCAAAAGGGTTATGCCAGAGTACGTTGAGCTGCAGGAATTCTTTTGGTAGCACTCTGTCAAGGTTTGGAAGATTACTTAATTTGGAAATGCAAGAACCACTTGGACGGGTTTACTGGATTTAGATAAATTTAATTCTCAATACTAGTTAGTGAAATTTTTCATTGTAATCATAATTATATTGCTAATATAGTATTTTGAGGGTCAGAGATACATCGTTATCTGCCCACATCAGTGAGAGATTTGTTTTGTTCAGAAAGGTTCTGTAAAATCAAGTTAGTTCACAAGTCACCTACCTCACTGCTTAAGTAGGAGAATTCCATCCTTTACCCCTGAAATAGGGAGGTAGTGCTCCTGTCTGGATTTTTTTTTTTTTTTTTTACTGAATGGATGAAGCAGTAATTCTCCAATTCACAGGTCTCCAAAGTAGTAGCATGCACACC